GCATCTATTGAGTTCTTGATTTCAGTTATTATATTTTCCAGTTTTAGAATTTCCAGCTGATTATTTTTTTAAAATTCTAGTTCCGTAGAAATTAGAAATGATAAAATTTTATGTCTTTTCATCTAACTTCTTGAACATATGCATAATTTTTTCAAATACTATGATAATTCTAGTATTTGGATCTCATGGGTCAGCTTCTGTGATCTATTTTTTCTCTTGTTTTTTGGTCATTTGGTTTTATCTCCTGGTATTAGTGATTTTTTTGTTAGAATGCCAGACATTTTGTGTGAAAAATTGCAGGGATAATCTGAGGCTCTAGATATCTTCCTCTAGAAAGGATTTGATTTTCCTAAGGCTGACAGTTAACATCAGAGCAGATCATCTTAATTCAGCCAGAAATTAGTCTGATTCAAAGCTGGAGTTTGTGAGGGCTGTTCTTTTTCCAGTTTACCTTTATACGTAGGGTATTTAATTTCAGCACTCTAGCTCAAGGCATGAGGTGTTTCTTTACTAGGACCCTCTACACCTTGGTGTGGACTCTGAACTCCAGTTTTTGTCCCCACAGTTCTATAAGACTGCTGAAAGTTCTCTTCATCTTCTCAACCCCTTATTTGTCACAGTAGAGCTGAATGCTTCTGGCTTACCTACCTGTACTTTTTCCTCTCTAGGATCTTAGCCCCTCAGTTCTTGGTTCTTTAGTAGATCTCTAATGATTTCAGATAGATATTTTAAATATTTTGTCAAGCATTTCTAATTGTTCCACCAGGAACATTGGTTTACAAGCTATTCTGCTTTTACTAGAAGTGTAAAGCCTGATTTTGTTTATTGTCAGCTTATGATCATTGCCTAGTTAATTAAAAAAGCCCTGGTTTAATCATTGATTTTCATTCCTCCAGAAAGGAACCTGCATTTGCTTTGCCAGGTGTTTGGGGGATCGCTCAATCCAGGACCATTTATTGCTCTCCAGGGGGTTTTCTGGATCATGCAGGCATCATGAGTTCGAACCTCCTATCTGAGTGGTTACAAATTCTCAGGGAGACTTTTTTTTCTTTTTGCCTGGAGTTAAAGCCAAAACAGACAAGTTCTCTTGTCTTCCATTGTGTCTGATTTTTCTTTTTTTGGCTGTGCCACGTGGCATGTGGGATCTCAGTTCCCCATCCAGGGATTGAATCTGTGCCCCCTGCATTGGACACACAGAGTCTTAACCACTGGACTGCCAGGGAAGTCCCATTGTGGCTGATTTTTTTCCTCCCTAGTTCATACTTTGATTGAGCATGTAGCCTTTTAAGGATTTTGACTTTTCTATGGATATCCATTCCAATTCTGTACCTCAAGTGTCCAGTTTTCTGCCCTCCAAGGCTTTGGGTTACTAGGGATTGATAAAAGATAGAAGGCACCTCCAATGGGCACATGAAAATATGATCAACATTGCTAATTATTAGAGAAATGCAAATGAAAACTACAACGTGGGGACTTCCCTGGTGGCGCAGTGATTAAGAATCTGCCTGCTGGGACTTCCCTGGTGGCGCAGTGGTTAAGAATCCACCTGCCAATGCAGGGGACACGGGTTCAAGCCCCGGTCCAGGAAGATCCCACATGCCGTGGAGCAACTAAGCCCATGCACCACAACTACTGAGCCTGTTCTCTAGAGCCTGCGAGCCACAACTACTGAGCCTGTGTGCCACAATTACTGAAACCCATGCGTCTAGAGCCAGTGCTCTGCAACAAGAGAAGCCACGGCAATGAGAAGCCCACACACCTCAATGAAGAGTAGCCCCCACTTGCTGCAACTAGAGAAAGCCCGCGTGCAGCAATGAAGACCCAACGCAGCCAAAGATAGATAGATAGATAGATAGATAAATAAATAAATAAATAAATAATTAAATAAAAAAGAGTCTGCCTGCCAATGCAGGGGACATGGGTTCAATCCCTGGTCCAGGAAGATCCCACATGCCATGGAGCAGCTAAGCCTGTGTGCCACAACTACTGAGCTTGCGCTCTAGAGCCTGCAAGTCACAACTACTGAGCCTGTGTGCCACAACTACTGAAGCCTGCACACCTAGCACCCATGCTCCGCAACAAAGAAGCCACCACAATGAGAAGCCCGTGCACCTCAATGAAGAGTAGCCCCCACTTGCCGCAGCTAGAGAAAGCCCACGTGCAGCAGTGAAGACCCAATGCAGCCAAAAAATAAAAATAAAAAAGAACTACTACAATGCGGTATCACCTCACACCAGTCAGAATGGCATTCATCAAAAAGTCTATAAATAATAAACAGTGGAGAGGGTGTGGAGAATAGAGAACCCTCCTACACGGTTGGTGGGAATGTAAATTGGTGCAGCCACAATGGAAAATGGTATGGAGGTTTCTCAGAAAACTAAAAATAGAGTTGCCATATGATGCAGCTATCCCACTCCTTGACATATGTCCAGACAAAACTATAATTCAAAGAGATACATGCACCCCCATGTTCATAGCAGTATTATTTACAAGGGCCAAGACTTGGAAGCAATCTAAATGTCTATTGACAGATGAATGGATAAAGAAGATGCGGTACATATATACGGTGGAATACTACTCAGCCACAAAAAAGAATGAAATAATGCCTTTTGCAGCAACATGGATGGACCTAGAGATTATCATACTAAATGAAGTAAGTCAGACAGAGACAGACAAATATCACAGATCACTTACATGTGGAACCTAAAAAAAAAGATACGAATGAACTTATTTACAAAATAGAGACTCACAGACATAGAAGACAAACTTATGGTTACCAAAGGGGAAGGGGGGAGGGATAAATTAGGAGTTTTAGGATTAGCAGGTACAAACTACTGTATATAAAACAGATAAACAACAAGGTCCTGGGAGTTCCCTGGTGGCCTAGTGGGAAGTGTGCTATAGGGAATATAGTTCCCAAAGCACAGGGAACTCTATTCAGTATCTTGTAATAAACTACAAAGAAAAGAATCTGAAAAATAATATATATAATATATACGTGTAAATATATATATTTACTGAATCACTTCACTGTATACCGGAAACTAATACAACATTGTAAGTCAACTATACTTCAATTAAAAAAAATTTTTAAAAATAGAAGGCATCGGCATCAGCTCTGGAATCCCTCCCTGGATTTGTGCTCCTGGTTTTTCTTTGGCTTCTGAGGATTTCTCTAATTTTCTATGAGCTATGCATTTAAAAGTATTAAAAATATATATATATATATATATATATATATATATATATATATGCACTTAAAGAAAATCCAAAACAAACTGCATATGTATGTTTTGGAATAAAAACAGAGCCACTATTTTATAGCTTAATTTTTTGCGGTACGCGGGCCTCTCACTGTTGTGGCCTCTCCCGTTGCAGAGCACAGGATCCGGATGCACAGGCTCAGCGGCCATGGCTCATAGGCCCAGCCGCTCCGCGGCATGCGGGATCTTCCCGGACCGGGGCACGAACCCACGTCCCCTGCATCAGCAGGCGGACTCTCAACCACTGCGCCACCAGGGAAGCCCTTAAAAATATATTTTATGTTTAGATATTTTGTATCACAAGGGTTTCAAGATATCTAGTTTACTACGTTCCTGGAAACAGAAGGTATTAATTTCTTCTATCGCGTGGTTTCTAAACATCCCAGTGGCCCTTCTCTGAGCATTCCTATGCCCTTCTCTGAGCATTCCTATTTAGTTAATGTCTATTTTTCCTGTGGACGCTAGCTGCATCACATTTCTTGAGATACGACCTGACTAGAATACAAGGTAGTCGTTATTTCTCTTACTCTGTGTACACTGTATCAATTCATTCAGCCTAGGAGTACATCAGAATATTGAACACTGGGTCATTACTAATTTACTTGGAATTTCTGCTTGACTGAAAATTTGTAGATCTTTTCCACAGATGATTTTACTTCTTCTTTTAAATAAATTTTATTCAATTTATTTTTTAGCTGCATCGGGTCTTCATTGCTGCATGCGGGCTTTCTGTAGTTGCGGCAAGCAGGGGCTACTCTTCATTGCGATGCACACGCTTCTCATTGCAGTGTCTTCTCTTGTTGTAGAGCATGTGCTCTAGGCACGTGGCTTCAGTAGTTGTGGCTCACAGACTCTAGAATGCGGGCTCAGTAGTTGTGGCGCACAGGCTTAGTTGCTCTGCGGCATGTGGGATCTTCCCAGACCAGGGCTGGAATGCATTTCCCCTGCACTGGCAGCTGGATTCTTATCTACTACACCACTAGGGAAGTCCTGATTTTACTTTTTGAAATGTAAATACAGGACTGTTTTTTTTGTGGGGGGTGGGTAGGTTTTTTTTGTTTTTTGTTTGGTCTTTAGTGCCCATCGCAGAGTAGGCTATTAGTAAATAAATGAATAACTTTATTTATTTATTTATTTTTGTCCACATTGCGCAGCTTGTGGGATCTTTGTTCCCTGATCAGGCATTGAACCCAGGCCCTCAGCAGTGAAAGCGTGGAGTCCTAACCACTGGACCACTGAGGAATTCCTCAATGAATGAATGACTTTCCAGCTCTCACTTTAAAACTTTTCCATACTGGATATGACATTGTTTTAGCATAAGATAATTTTGAATCCTGATCCTGTTATTCAATATATTAGCTACGCTTTGAGTATTATATCATCTGTAAATTGGATGTTTTCATTCAGATAGCTAGGGACAGAGTCAAGGACAGAGCCCTGAAGCACTGAAGACTTCTTTTTAGGTTGATATCAATTACTTAATTCAGTTTTTTGTATGTTGGTTTTGGCTTTTTGCCCAGCCATGAGTATACTTAGATGTACTATTTTCCCACTGATTATTTCACAATTGTCCACCAGGTTAAAGTGAGAAGCTTTGTCAGATGCTCTGCAGTGGGGGGATGGGCTAGGGGAGCACTCTGCAGAGCCCTCCAGGTTAGGGCCCTAAAACACCCCTGGCCTGAGGAAGAGGAGCCTGTAAGGAGCCCTAATACTTTACCCCTTAACACTCCTGGGCAGGTGCTGGTGGATGTGCCCTGTACGGCAGACCGCCACTCCCTTCACGAGGAGGAGAACAACATCTTTCAGCCTTCAAGGAAGAAGGAGCGGCAGGTGTTGCCCATGTTGCAGGTGCAGCTTCTTGCGTGAGTAATAGATTTACAGAAACTCAGGACTTTGGGCCAGAGTGCTGTGGGGGGGTCTGGTCACCTGGGGGGCTTGGGGGCTCGAAGCTCTTTCCAAGACCATTACCCGTAGAAGGGTCTTCTGGCTGGGAATCTGCCTGGAGGAGACAATCATCATTGGATGGTCTTTCTCTGGGACATAAAGACTCTATGTGGAGATTGGTTCAAGATGGTGTAGTAGAAGGACGTGCGCTCACTCCCTCTTGCGAGAGCACCGGAATCACAGCTAACTGATGAACAGTCATCAACAGGAAGGCACTGGAACTCAACAAAAGAGATACCCCACATCCAAAGACAAAGGAGAGGCCACAATGAGATGGTAGGAGGGGTGCAATCACAATAAAATCAAATCCCATAACCGCTGGGTGGGTGACTCACAAACTGGAGTGAAGGTTCTGAGCCCTACATCAGGCTTCCCAACCTGTGGATCTGGCAGTGGGAGGAGGAATTCCTAGAGAATCAGACTTTGAAGGCTAGTGGGATTTGATTGCAGGACTTTGACAGGACTGGGGGAAACAGACTCCACTCTTGGAGGACACACACAAAGTAGTGTGCGTATCAGGACCCAGGGAGAAGGAGCAGTGACCCCATAGGAGACTGAACCAGACCTACCTGCTAGTGTTGGAGGGTCTCCTGCAGAAGCGGCAGGGACAAGGACACTGGCAGCAGAGGTTCTAGGACGTACTCCTTGGCATGAGCCCTCCCAGAGCCCTCCATTAGCCCCACCAAAGAGCCTCTAGACTCCAGTGCTGGTCACCTCAGGCCAAACAACCAACAGGGAGGGAGCTCAGCCCCACCCATCAGCAGGCAAGCCAATTAAAGTTTTACTGAGCTCTGCCCATCACCAATCCTTCCCATCAGAAAGCTTGCACAGGCCTCTTAGATAGCCTCATCTGCCAGAGGGCAGACAGCAGAAGCAAGAAGAACTACAGTCCTGCAGCCTGTGGAACAAAAACCACATTCACAGAAACATAGATAAAATGAAAAGGTAGAGGACTATGTACCAGATGAAGGAACAAGATAAAATCCCAGAAAAACAACCAAATGAAGTAGAGATAAACAACCTTCCAGAAAAAGAATTCAGAATAATGATAGTGAAGATGATCCAGGACCTCAGAAAAAGAATGGAGGCAAAGATCGAGAAGATGAAAGAAAGGTTTAATAAAGACCTAGAAGAATTAAAGAACAAACAAACAGAGGTGAACAATACAATAACTGAAATGAAAAATACACTAGAAGAAATCAATAGCAGAATAACTGAGGCAGAAGAACAGATAAGTGATCTGGAAGACAGAATGGTGGAATTCACTGCCACAGAACATGATAAAGAAAAAAGAATGATAAGAAATGAAGACAGCCTAAGAGACCTCTGGGACAACATTAAACGCACCAACATTCGCATTATAGGGGTCCCAGAAGGAGTAGAGAGAGACAAAGGACCCGAGAAAATATTTGAAGAGATTATAGTTGAAAAATTCCCTAACATGGGAAAGGAAATAGCCACCCAAGTGCAGGTAGAGCAGAGAGTCCCAGGCAGGATAAACCCAAGGAGAAACATGCCGAGATACATAGTAATCAAATTGACAAAAATTAAAGACAAAGAAAAATTATTGAAAGCAACAAGGGAAAAATGACAAATAACATACAAGGGAACTCCCATAAGGTTAACAGCTAATTTCTAAGCAGAAACTACAAGCCAGAAGGGAGTGGCATGATATATTTAAAGTGATGAAAGGGAAGAACCTACAACCAAGATTACTCTACCTAGCAAGGATCTTATTCAGATTCGATGGAGAAATCAAACGCTTTACAGACAAGCAAAAGCTAAGAGAATTCAGCACCACCAAACCAGCTCTACAACAAATGCTAAAGAAACTTCTCTAAGTGGGAGATATAGGAGAAGAAAAGGACCTACAAGAACAAACCCAGAATAATAAAGAAAATGGTAATAGGAATACATATCGATAATTACCTTAAATGTGAATGGATTAAATGCTCCAACCAAAAGACACAGGCTCACTGAATGGATACAAAGACAAGGCCCACATATATGCTGTCTACAAGAGACCCACTTCAGACCTAGGGACACATACAGATTGAAAGTGAGGGGATGGAAAAAGATATTCCATGCAAATGGAAATCAAAGGAAAGCTGGAGTAGCAATACTCATATCAGATAAAATAGACTTTAAAATAAAGAATGTTATAAGAGACAAGGAATGACACTACATAATGATCAAGGGATCAATCCAACAAGGTGATATAACAATTATATATGCACCCAACCTAAGAGTCAATACATAAGGCAAGTGCTAACAGCTATAAAAGATGAAATCAACAGTAACACAATAATAGTGGGGGACTTTAACACCTCACATATTAATAAGGAGCTAATCAATGAATTTGGTAAAGTTGCAGGATACAAAATTAATGCACAGAAATCTCTTGCATTCCTATACACTAACAATGAAAGATCAGAAGGAGAAATTAAGGAGACAATCCCATTCACCACTGCAACAAAAAGAATAAAATACCTAGGAATAAACCTACCTAAGGAGGTAAAAGACCTGTACTCAGAAAACTATAAGACACTGATGAAAGAAACCAAAGATGACACAGGGAGAGATACACCATGTTCTTCCTTAATTAATAAGGAAACACAAGCTTTAAATGACACAGTAGACCAGATTTAATTGGTATTTATAGGACACTCCATCCATAAACAGCAGATTACACTTTCTTCTCAAGTGCACATGGAACATTCTCCATGATAGATGACATCTTGGGTCACAAATCAAGCCTTGGTAAATTTAACAAAATTGAAGCAAGCATCTTTTCCAACCACAATGCTATGAGATTAGAAATAAATTACAGGGAAAAAAACTGTAAAAAACACAAACACATGGAGGCTAAACAATATGTTACTAAATAACCAGGAGATCACTGAAGAAATCAAAGAGGAAATCAAAAAATACCTAGAGACAAGTGACAATGAAAACATGACAATCCAAAACCTGTGGGATGCAGCAAAAGCAGTTCCAAGAAGGAAGTTTATAGCAGCACAATCCTACCTCAAGAAACAAGAAAAGTCTCAAATAAACAATCTAACCTTACACCTAAAGGAACTAGAGAAAGAAGAACAAACAAAACCCAAGGTTAGTAGAAGGAAAGAAATCATGAAGATCAAAGCAGAAATAAATGAAATAGAAACAAAGAAAACAATAGCAAAGATCAATAAAACTAAAAGCTGGTTCTTTGAGAAAAACAAAATTGACAAACCATTAGCCAGACTCATCAAGAAAAAGAGGGAGAGGACTCAAATCAATAAAATTAGAAATGAAAAAGGAGAAGTTACAACAGACACCGCAGAAATACAAAGCATCCTAAGAGACTACTACAAGCAACTCTATGCCAATAAAATGGACAACCTGGAAGAAATGGACAAATTCTTAGAAAGGTATAACCTTCCAAGACTGAACCAGGAAGGAATAGAAAAACATGAACAGACCAATCACAAGTAATGAAATTGAAACTGTGATTAAAAATCCTTCAACAGGGACTTCCCTGGTGGTGCAGTGGTTAAGAATCTGCCTGCCAATGCAGGGGACACAAGTTTGAGCCCTGGTCTGGGAAGATCCCACATGCTGTGGAGCAACTAAGCCTGTGCGCCGTAACTACTGAGCCTGCGCTCTAGAGCCCACGAGCCACAACTACTGAGCCTGTGTGCCACAACTACTGAAGCCTGCGTGCCTAAAGCCTGTGCTCTCCAACAAGAGAAGCCACCATAATGAGAAGCCTGTGCACCGCAATGAAGAGTAGCCCCCACTTGCCGCAACTAGAGAAAGCCCGTGCGCAGCAACAAAGACCCAATGCAGCCAAAAAAATAAATTAATTAAAAAAAAATGACGAACAAAAGTCCAGGACCAGGTGGCTTCACAAGTGAATTCTATCAAACATTTAGAGAAGAGCTAACAGCTATCCTTCTCAAACTCTTCCAAAAAATTGCAGAGGGGGGAACACTCCCAAACTCATTCTATGAGGCCACCATCACCCTGATACCAAAACCAGACAAAGATACTACAAAAAAAGAAAATTACAGACCAATATCACTGATGAATATAGATGCAAAAATCCTCAACAAAATACTAGCAAACAGAATCCAACAACACATTAAAAGGATCATACACCATGATCAAGTGGGATTTATCCCAGGGATGCAAGGATTCTTCAATATATGCAAATCAATCAATGTGATACACCATATTAACAAATTGAAGAATAAAAACCATATGATCATCTCAATAGATGCAGAAAAAGCTTTTGACAAAATTCAACACCCATTTATGATAAAAACTCTCCAGAAAGTGGGCATAGAGGGAACCTACCTCAACATAATAAAGGCCATATATGACAAACCCACAGCAAACATCATTCTCAATGGTGAAAAACTGAAAGCATTTCCTCTAAGATCAGGAACAAGACAAGGATGTCCACTCTCACCACTATTATTCAACATAGTTTTGGAAGTCCTAGCCACGGCAATCAGAGAAGAAAAAGAAAATAAAGGAATACAAATTGGAAAAGAAGAAGTAAAACTGTCACTGTTTGCAGATGACATGATACTATACATAGATCATCCTAAAGATGCCACCAGAAAACTACTAGAGCTAATCAATGAATTTGGTAAAGTTGCAGGATACAAAATTAATGCACAGAAATCTCTTGCATTCCTATACACTAACAATGAAAGATCAGAAGGAGAAATTAAGGAGACAATCCCATTCACCACTGCAACAAAAAGAATAAAATACCTAGGAATAAACCTACCTAAGGAGGTAAAAGACCTGTACTCAGAAAACTGTAAGACACTGATGAAAGAAACCAAGATGACACAGGGAGAGATACACCGTGTTCTTGGATTGGAAGAGTCAATATTGTGAAAATGACTATACTACCGAAAGCAATCTACAGATTCAATGCAATCCCTATCAAATTACCAATGGCATTTTTTATAGAACTAGAGCAAAAAAATCTTAAAATTTGTATGGAGACACAAAAGACCCTGAATAGCCAAAGCAATCTTTTTCCTTGAGGGGAAAAAAGCAGAGCTGGAGGAATCAGACTCCCTGACTCCAGACTATACTACAAAGCTACAGTAATCAAGAGAATATGGTACTGGCACAAAAGCAGAAATATAGATCAATGGAATAGTATAGAAAGCCTAGAGATAAACCCACGCACCTATGGTCAACTAATCTATGACAAAGGAGGCAAGGATATACAATGGAGAAAAGACAGTGTCTTCAATAAGTGGGAAAACTGGGAAAACTGGACAGCTACATGTAAAAGAATGGAATTAGAACACTCCCTAACACCATACACAAAAATAAACTCAAAATCAATTAAAGACTTAAGTGTAAGGCCAGACACTATAAAACTCTTAGAGGGAAACATAGGAAGAACACTCTTTGACATAAATCACAGCAAGATCTTTTTTTGACCCACGTCCTAGAGTAATGAAAATAAACCCAAAAATAAACAAATGGGACCTAATGAAACTTAAAAGCTTTTGCACAGCAAAGGAAACTATAAACAAAACGAAAAGACAGCCCTCAGAATTGGAGAAAATATTTGCAAATGAATCAACAGACAAAGGATTAATCTCCAAAATATATAAACAGCTCATGCAGTTCAATGTTAAAAAAACAACCCAATCTGGATAGACCTAGAATCTGTCATACAGAGTGAAGTAAGTCAGAAAGAGAAGGACAAATACTGTATGCTAACACACATATATGGAATTTAAGAAAAAAAATGTTATGAAGAACCTAGGGGTAAGACAGGAATAAAGACACAGACCTACTGGAGAACGGACTTGAGGATATGGGGAGGGGGAAGGGTGAGCTGTGATAGGGCGAGAGAGAGACATGGACATATATATACTAACAAACATAAGGTAGATAGCCAGTGGGAAGCAGCCGTGTGGCACAGGGATACCAGCTCGGTCGGTGCTTTGTGACCACCTGGAGGGGTGGGATAGGGAGGGTTGGAGGGAGGGAGACGAAGAGGGAAGAGATATGGGAACATATGTATATGTATAACTGATTCACTTTGTTATAAAGCAGAAACTAACACACCATTGTAAAGCAATTATACCCCAATAAAGATGTTAAAAAAAAAAAAAAACCCAATCAAAAAATGGGCAGAAGACCTAAATAGAAATTTCTTCAAAGAAGACATACAGATGGCCAAGAGACACATGAAAAGCTGCTCCACGTCACTAATTATTAGAGAAATGCAAATCAAAACTACAGTGAGGTATCACCTCACACCGGTCAGAATGGGCATCGTTAGAAAATCTACAAACAGCAAATGCTGGAGAGGATGTGGAGAAAAGGGAACCCTCTTGCACTGTTGGTGGGAATGTAAACTGATACAGCCACTGTGGAGAACAGCATGGACGTTCATTAAAAAACTAAAAATAGAATTACTGTATGACCCAGCAATCCCACTGCTGGGCATATACCCAGAGAAAACCATAATTCCAAAAGACACATGCACCCCAGTGTTCATTGCAGCACTATTTACAATAGCCAGGTCATGGAAGCAACCTAAATGCTGACAGATGAATGGATAAAGAAGATGTGATACATATATATACAATGGAGTATTAGCCATAAAAAGGATCGAAATTGGGTCATTTGTAGAGTCATAGATGGACCTAGAGACTGTCATACAGAGTGAAGTAAGTCAGAAAGAGAAAAACAGTATATGCGTATATTAACTCATATGTGTGGAATCTAGAAAAATGGCACAGGTGAACTGGTTTGTAAGGCAGAAATAGAGACACAGATGTAGAGAACAAACGTACGGACACCAAGTGGGGAAAGCGACGGGGAGGGTGGTGGTGGTGATGGGATGAATTGGGAGACTGGGATTGACATATATATGCTAATATGTATAAAATAGGTAACTAATAAGAACCTTCTGTATAAAAAATAAATAAATAAAATTCAAAAAAAAGAAAAGACTGTGTGGTAGGACATGCATAGCAGGATGGGCTGCACAGATTCACTTTTACCTCTATGCTAGTCCCCATGTCAGTGAGTAGCACAATTTTGAAAAATAGTTACTGAGTTTAAGGCTCTGTAGAGCTGGGGTAGAGACTCAGTCCATAGGCAGCATCAGGGTTTGGTTTACAACCAGAGTCAAAGATCAGGGGACCATTTCAAGAGGACTTTTGGAGGAGAGCCCATGGAGTAAGGTTGGGTTGCTCTCAGCTTTGAGAACAACTTTCAGGTGGTGTCAGTGTGGAAGGCACTTCAGAGGCTAACACAGCTACCCATCCCACAATTCACTCCCCTATCCTTCCAGCTTCTTCTGATGCACTTCTACTTCTGGGAGGCTCACTAGTCACTGCTACTCTCTCTTTCTGGTTTCAGGGCTGGACTCCTTGCCACCAAACCAGGAGGCCATGTTGTCTATTCCACCTGCTCACTCTCACACTTACAGAATGAGTATGTGGTGCAAGGCACCATCGAGCTCCTGGCCAATCAATACGGCATCAAGGTTCATGTGGAAGACCTGACTCACTTCCGAAAGCTTTTCATGGACACATTTTCTTTCTTCCCATCCTGCCAGGTTGGGGAGCTGGTAATCCCAAACCTCATGGCCAATTTTGGGCCTGTGTACTTTTGCAAAATGTGTAGAATGACGTAGCATCACCCTGTTCCTGAAGTCCTGTTGTAAGAAGATAAAGGGTGTACTCTTGTGGAGAACAGTGGCAGAGATGCACTCTGGCCTATCTCCATCCCATTCATGTCTTTCTGTAGACAGTTTTCAGCAGTAGGAAGTAGAGTTTTTCTGTCCTGCTGTCCAATTGTGGAGCATCAGCACGTTTCTAACTCACTTATTACACCCCACTTCCGACCCCTACTCCCCATCTCTGAGCCTGTGCTAAAGGTTCCTGCCCCATTAGGGGCTTAGGAGGAGGAACCAGTGAGCAAGGCCACTCTTTAAGCTGTAAACTTGGGAAGAAGCATTTAGCCAATAAAATTGTTGAAGCTACATGGAGCTGGGGCTGTAGTTGGGGGGCCTCATGTCAGTCCAAGTAGTGTTAGTTCCTTTTGTACCCAGGTACCCAAAGCACAGGACCTCAGCCTGGTTACAGGCCTCTGGTTACAGAGCCCGTCTCACACTTGAGGTGAGTTCTGCATGATAAGTCTTGAGCAGCCAAAGGGCTTAAACAAGCCTACCAAGTTTCTCCATATGCCCCATGATCTAATTTAAGAAACAAGTAACTAAAATGTTAAGCCAGTGCATAATAATCTGCTTGCTTACTTTGAGAAAGCTCTCTTGAGCTGAGTAATTCCAGCCATCCCTCCTGCTGTCACCAGCTCTGCTTCCCAAATGTGGCTGGGAAGAGGTCTAGTGGCTCCAGTGGCTCCTGTGCTCTAGAGCCTGTGAGCCACAGCTACTGAGCCCACGTGCTACAACTACTGAAGCCCACGTGCCTAGAACCCATGCTCCGCAACAAGAGAAGCCACTGCAATGAGAAGCCCGGGCACCGCAATGAAGAGTGGCCCCCACTTGCTGCAACTAGAGAAAGCCCATGCATAGCAGCAAAGACCCAACACAGCCAAAAATAAATAAATTTTTAAAAATTAAAAAAAAAAAATGTTCATAGCAGCCCTGGTCACAAAAGCAAGCCCAAATGCCCATGAGAGTGGACAAATAAAATGGAATATTCACACAATGGAATATTATACAGGTGTCAGAACAAATGAGCTACAATAACACATAACAATATGAATGATTCTTAGCAAAAATATGTTAAATGAAAAGTTTAGTCCCAAAGATTAAATGTAGCATGATGTCCTTTAAAAATAAAACTTTATTCTTTTTTGTTGTTATTTACATACGATATAATTTATCAATTTTAAATGTACCATTTAAATGAATTTTGATAATTCATTGTAGTAGTATATAGCCATCATCACCATCAAAATATAGAAAATAATTCCATCTTCTAAAAAGTTTCCTTGTGCTCCTTTGCACTTAATCCCCTTCTCCCACTCCTGGTCCCAGGTAATCACTAATCTGCTTTCTGTCACTATAGTTTTGCCTATTCTAGAATTTCACATTATGGAAGAGAGAGTTGATCTACAGCTGGATTGCAAAGGCTGTGTCTTTATCTGGATGTCTGTTTTTTCACCCTTGGCCGAGGTAAGGGCCTTGGTATTTCTAATGTGCTGTTTAAATCTGAAGCTCCCCTGACTCCCAAGGTCACTTTCTTTACTGATGGTTTACAGCTGGCCTAACTAATCACATGTGTGTGGCTTGACTACATGGCCAGAGTAGCATAAAAAAGATCTGAGCTCTCCCACAGCCAAGATTCCCCACACAGATCATGGAGATTCAATCCAAAGATAGAGTACTTTGCTTCACATCCTTGCTAATACTTGGTATTATAAATTTTAAACTTCACATCCTGTCCCAATGCATTATGGCTTTGCTGCTTCCTTCACCAAGACACAGTGTCTCTTTCCTCACCCCTTGAATCTGGGCTGACTGTATGATTTGCTTTGACCAGTTAAATTTGGTGGAATGAATGTTGTGTAAATTCTAAGCTTAGGCCTCAAGAGGCCTTGCAGCTTTCACTCTCACCTTGGAACTTTTCTACTGCCATGTGAAGAAGCCTAGGCTAGCTGCTGGAGACATGTGATGGACACCAAGCTAAGACCTTCTAACCTCAATTAAGTGGTTAAATGGCCCAAACTGCATGAGTGACTCCAGTCAAGACTAGCTTAGCTTGCTGATTCCCAGAATCATGAGTAAATAAAATGGTCGTTTTTAAACCGCTGAGTTTTGGGGGTGGTTTGTTACACAGCAACAAATAATTGACACGTGTGGAAAACCCAAATCTGACTGTCATTTACCTGCTTACAATCCTTTGTTCTCTCTGCACTGCCTGCAGGATCAAGTCCAAACTCTGCCCTGGCCCCTGGTTGTTGATTCTATCTCTACTATCCCCCAATGCTCCCTTCTCTCACAAGTTCTTTGTGTATCCCAAGCATAACGTGTCCCCTGGTGCCTCTGTATCATGACACATTGTCTTCTCTGTCTAAATGCCCTTTTCTCTCTGTTCGTGCTAGCCCAGATTTCCACCTCCTCCAGGAAGCTTTCTCTGATTTTCTAAAGCAGACTGCGTTGTTCCCTTTTCTGTGCTTCCCCAGCCCTCTGTATATATTATGAATATAACACTTCCCTTGTGTGCTTTCTCTCCTCACCCCATCCCCAAACTGAGAATTATTCGGGACAGGAAGCTAGTATCTTGCATCTCTAACCCCCCAGCACCAATGTGTTTGGTACATAAAAGGCATGAGTACAGACTGAGTATCTCATATGTGCTAGGCCTCATCCAAGATACTAGAGAGAGGGGTGGTCAGAATGGACAAGGTCTTTGTTCTCAAGGGATGTACAATCTAGTGGGCAAGAAAGATAAGAAATTACAGATGAATTACAACTAAATTACAAGTGAGCAAAGTACTGAGAGAAGTGTACAGTGTGTATACCTGGGAGACCTAACGTAGCCTGGAGGGAGACACGTTCAAACAGACCTGGGGATGAGGAGGCGGTAGATTAGTGAGGCAGAGGAGGAGGTTGTGTGTGTGTGAGGGCTGTCCTCCAGCAGAGATAACAGGCTGTGTGACTGAAGCTCCTGAGGCAGGAGAGATAGACTCCGGGACCTGAAAGAGGTCTAGTATGTTGCAATACAGAGAGAAGGGGACGCTTGTGAAATATGAGGTCAGAGAACAGGCGGAAGTCAACTGCACCAGGGCTGGCAGGCTCTGAAGGAGTGAGTACTTGGAGTAATTGGAAGCCAATGCAGGAGTTTTAAGCTGGAAAGTGACCTGATCAGATTTCCATGGGCCTCCCACTGGGAGTATGGTTATCAATAGCATTTGCTGAATGAGGAAGTTAAATAACTGATTCAACAGAAAATGCTTCTGAAGGTCATTCCAATACTTAAGCTTCCTCAGCCCTCCCCTGTCTGAGTAAAAGGGAGCTGTTGAATTCCCTGCTGTTCAGACTGAAGTTTGAGGTGACCCACTAGGAGGCACACTGGCAAAGTCAGGTGTACCTGGGAGGGTGACCAGGATGGAGAGGAAACTGAAAGTTCCATCCTGGGAAGAACTGGGAGCATTAAGCCAGGAGACAGCTGTTCTCTTGCTCTCTATACATTCCCTGCTCGACCAGTGCCTGCTTCACCTGCACCCTACTCATCTGACTGACCTTCCTACCTGCTTGCCCCAGGCCCTACCTAATGATTGTTCCAACTTTAGCCACCGTGATAGCTTATCATAGGGGTAGTGAGAGGTGTGCCCTTCTGCTGGTTTCCCTGGTAACCAATAAGCCAACCTAACATCAATTCCCCCTATAACTGGTAACCTACACCTACCCCTGGGAGTGAAGACTGCCACCAAGTCTGGCCCCGCCAAGTCCAGCCCTGCTGCAGAGGGGTTTTGCTCCAGGACCTTGCACAGACATGTAAGCTCCCTCTATCCATTATCTGCTGATGTCTCTGTTGCTGAAAAAGAGAGAGAGAGTGAGAGAGAGAGAAAGAGAGAGTGAGAGAATGAGAGAGACAGAAGAGAGAGAGAGAGAATGAGAGATGCCTGTATCTAAATAGGACTGTTCTGAGGCAGGGGGTGCAGGTGTGTTTTGAGTGTCTCCAGAGTCAGTAGAGCTGGGGTCATAGAAGAAAGTTGTAGTGTGCCAGATTGCAGATCAATAGAAAACCTTTAAACTAGTGCTTTCTGGACTGTGGTTCACAACCATAATTCATTCGTGGTCATGGAATCAATTTTGTGCGTATGGTAGGCATTAGGATTTTTCAGAGATAGCTAGTTAGTTACTCCTCTTCCTGAAGGAAAAGTTACCCCTCTTCCTCAGAAGAGTTGCCTTCCCCACTGCCTCTGTAGTTGGGCATGGCTACGTGACTTGCTTTATGAAATATTAGTAGAAGTGGTGTCTTTCTTCCACATTTCTGGATGGAAGCGTTGAGAGTGAACATCAGGTTTGCCATGTCATTCCCACTACAGTGACCATGGAAACATATGTTGAGATGGAACTTACATCAGCCTGAGTGCCCAAGTGACTTTGTTGAGCAGAACCCCCTGTGGACCTGCATTAGACATGGGGTGAGAGTGAAAAATAACTGCCATGTTCAGCCTCTGAGAGTTTGTGTTGTTACTGAAGTATAACTTGGTCTCTCTCTCTTTTCTCCTCTTTTTTTTTTTGGCTGCGAGGCTTGCGGGAACTTAGTTCCCCCACCAGGGATTGAACCCGGGCCCTCAGCAGTGAAAGCAAGGAGTCCTAACTACTGGACCACCAGGGAAGTCCCTACCTTGGTCTCTTTTGACCTATCCAGCAGGCATGGATCAGCTCCTTATTTATTTTCTTATTGATTTTTTTAAAATCAAAGTATAGTTGACTTACGATCTTGTGTTAGTTTCACGTATACAACAAAGTGATTCAGATATGTATATATACACACATATATGTACATAATACTTTTTTTGATTATTTTTCATTATAGGTTATTACAAGATATTGAATATAGTTTCCTGTACTATACAGTAAATCCTTGTTACTTATCTATTTTATGTATATTTTTAACAAAAGGGAATAGAATAGAAAATATCAGATGCAAACCAATCTATAGTGACAGCAGATCAGTGGTTGCCTAGGGAAGGCTAGATTACACAGGACCATGAGGAAACTTTTGGGGATGATAGATGTCTTGATGGTGGTAATGATTTTACATGTATATACATATGTAAAAAACTCATGGTACTGTATACTTTAAATATGTGCAGTTTATTGTGCACCAGTTATATCTCAAAGCTATAAGACATATGCATAGAAAACAACACATTTTAAAAGATCATATACAAACAAAAAGATAGGCATTAAACAAATTATGAGTTGCTTATGGGTGGAGGGAGGATAAGATTGGGGAGCAAAGATAAAAAATAAACAGATAAGGCTTCCCTGGTGGCGCAGTGGTTGAGAGTCCGCCTGCCGATGCAGGGGACACAGGTTCGTGCCCCGGTCTGGGAAGATCCCACATGCCACGGAGCAGCTGGTCCCGTGAGCCATGGCTGCTGAGCCTGCGCGTCCGGAGCCTGTGCTCCACAACGGGAGAGGCCACAACAGTGAGAGGCCCGCGTACCGCAAAAAAAAAAAAAACCCAAAAAACCCCAGATAATATATGAGAGGGGCTTGGATGGATTAATGATGATAATGTCCTGGGAACTGAGGGGTATGATGAATTCAATCCCTCTGCACCTGATGGGATAAATGGATGAATGAACAAACTATTAGTCAAGAAAGGTGGCTGGTCGTATGCCTTCTTGAGTTGTGTTGGTCTTACCTCCCAGGAGGCTTTTCCCCTGACTCAAGAGGGTTGACTGGTCAGGAGATGGAATGTGACCAAGAAGTGGGCAGGTAGGCTGGGACTCCTACAATGTCACTGTCCCTTTCTCTTTTTTCCCTTCCTTGTCTGTTCTAGGGGACCAGAGTCACACAGTTCCTCTTCGTTCTGTTCCTTGCAAGCCCTGATTCCCTTAGTGGTTGCCCTTCCCAAACTGGGGCACTTCATTTAGAGAGTATTTCATCAGACTCGAACCTGGACTGTTATTTTATTTATTGAAGGCGGCAGGGAACAGCCCCAAAGTCACAGCAGTTCCAAAACAGTACTCTGTATATTCCCAAGACTGTCCTCACTGCCCATTCCTG